TGGGAGGATAATGACAGAGGGAGGGGCCTATTTGACCCCTCCTGACCTTTTGCTGGATCCGGCTGCTGGGAAGAGCTTCAGGAAGTGGGTGCAGCAGAAGTCCCAATGTGATGGGATATCCTGCCGCCTGCCCGCTAACCCGTCTTCCTCCGCTGGTAATTTATGTGTTCCCGTTGTTTCTCAGTCACCTCTGCAGGATGAGGCTGTGCTCCAGAGACGACGAGATGTACACCCAGAGACACATCGTGCAATGACGCACGCACAAGCGCAGATGGATACATGCGCTGATGTACGCAGGCCTTAACACATGCTGACAGCCAAAAAAACACACACACACATACACAACCTCATACTTCTATCTTACCGAGGACACTCATTGGCATAATGCATACCCTGGTCCCTTACCCTAACCTTAACCATCATCAAGTGCTCAATCCTTACCTAAACCTAACCCTGCAAGCAAGTATTAACCCTTTAATAGAACTTTGAGAAAGTGAGGACTGGCTAAAATGTGTATGCACAAAATGGTCCTCATAAAGTACACACACACACACACACACACTCACACACACACACAAACATAAGCAATTTCCATGACTTTAGATGACAATACCTGACCCACATGGATTTTCTGGACACTTACTCTAACCTTAATCATATTTAATACTTGCCTAACCTTAAACTTAACTTAACCTAAACCTAAACTTAACTTAAAACACAACACAACTTAAAATTTGATTATATACATTATGGGGACCTGCTTTACAGCCCCATAAGGAAGAAAAGCAATAATATAATAATGTGACGTTATAAGCAGATTTTGGTCTCCACAACATGAGTAATACCTGGTCCACACACACACACACACACACACACACACACACACACACACACACACACCTCCAGTTGACTCAACAGCGCTCACAGCCAAGGACACTTTCACTCAGGTCACTGCGTTACACACAGACGAAGGTCACTGTTGAAAATTATCGCACAGAGGAGAAAGAGCTGGTGAATTGCAAACACAGAAAGTCTGGCAGAGATGGCACCAACAAAAACAATATTATCATGCAGCGCTGTGCAGCTGGTTTGATTTACTGGGTGCAAACAAAGACTATTATCCATCTCAGTGCAGTTTTACATACATACACTGAAATGAAATCGGTTGATTGTTTAAAAGTGACACATAATTACTTTGCGATGACACTATTTATCATTTTGTGATTACTAAAGCCAAATGCTAAATGGCTAGTCTCTTCAAAAGAACAGTTGTTTTATTTGCCATTATACTCTATTATGGTTACTAATGTCACTGTCTGTCAGACAAAGTTCAGGGACTTGTGGGTATTTTCTCCGCTGGAAAAGCTGCCTCACCTCACTGTGCTCTCCTCATCCCCCCCACCCGTGAAACATCAAAGCATGGCCACACTGAAACTCCGAGCCCATGTTGGCATTGCCCTCCTACCTCCAGATCCAGTAATTACAGCTCACACAAGACATCAACATTATTACTCGTCAAACCACGGTTATAATAATACCACAAAGCACATCAAAGAGACAACTCACATTTCAAGGGAAAAATAAAAACTCATGGATTATGCATTAGGAGGGTCTGATTCAACCTTCAGAGCAAACAGGGCTCAGTTCAGGTTTATCTGGAGCGAGGTCCAAACTTGATAATCAAGATTTATGTTGGTGTAATTTGAAAATACATTTTATGTTATCGTTTACACTGTGCCAACCCGTGGTTTCTGACTGTTCTTACCATATTTTTGCATTTGCAATGCGGTGACAAATTCTCGTAGGACTTTACAGCAGCCAAGTGTGAGGGCGAGGTTAAACTGCTGTGACTTGGTTCAGGACAGAATTGCCACCAGAGGATTTTTTTTTATGTTTCAATACTGCCCTCTTGTGTCTCATAAACATAATCTAAAATCTGCTCTTTCCATATTCATACTAAATACTAGACTTTACAATATTCCTTTTACTAAATTTACCAAATTACAAATGTATCTCATTAAAACTCAAACAAAACTTCAATTTTTGTAAAAAATTCCTGTGTTTTCTCTTTTTCAAAGACATAAAAAAGATCAGCTTTATCGATTCCACACAGGGACATTTTTATCATAGCAGCAGAGATACAAGAACAAATGCAATACACAAAACCCAAAGATCTTTTTTTTCCTTCTTTTTAAGTGCCTGTACTAAAAGAAAAGTGTGTCTGACAAAGAACAAGACTCTCCTGCACAAACTCAGAGAATTCAACATCACCCTGAACAGCGATATCTTTTATACACTCTGGACTGAATTTCCTCTATAAATCTCTTTCATTTTCCTTGTGAATGTTGCTCAAAGTCAAAACAACCGACAGAAGAAGACAGAACAAGATAGGGAGGCACCGCTAGGGTGGATGCTGGGTGTGTAGTTGTGCGTCAGGTGTGTGCACAAGAATATTACATCTATAGTGCACGTATATCTGGTAGAGATTCAGAGGTCACGTCTGTGTTGTGTGTGTCAAAACTGAAACGCAATGCAATATTTAGCACAGTTGAATTATGAAGCTACATCTTAATAATGCTGTGACCTACTTCCTGACTGGGAAGTCAACAGTTTCATCGTCGCCACCATCCGACTGCCACAACAATAAATGTCGCCAACCATCCCTGATGTCACTAACATGTCAGCCATTTTCATTATTCATTGAGTGTGTCGCTCCCATTTATCTCAACATGTTTTTGTTTGAAGCCTGCAAATCCCCTTCCGCATTCACATCCCCTTTCAATTACAGTGGAGCTGGAGCAGAATGTGTGGAAACACGGTGCAAGTAGAAATCAAGAAGTCAGGTTAACATCATGTAGAGTATACAGGTGCACAACAGAAGATGTGTCCCTAACATCCGCTGGCGGTCACTAACATCTCATAACATTAACTGACGCAGGCATTAATGAGTGCAGTAGATTATACAAGAGATACTCTTGATCTTGTCCCATGTTCTAAAATGGTAAAGTGTTTAAAAAGCATAGAGGTAATGATTTCTGATCTACTCAGTGGGCCACATGGCTTTCATAGTGCTGCCGTACAAGTAGCAAGTCAGTTTTAGCCGAAACACTTGATGAGGTTAAGGTGCACAACTGAAGTTATGTCCCTAACATCCGCTGGTGGCCACTAACACCTGCTAACATCTACTGGTAGTTGGTAACAGACGACCTTCAAACATACAGTACAAGGGATATTCAGCATCTTGTCCTATATTCTAAAATACACCCTGCTGGTAGAACACCTTTATTTTTCTACCTGTTATAGCTATAATTCAATATCTCAGTGTTTCTGAAATTAAAGTGGAGAACAAATAGACAATTAGAGAGTTTATTAAATTGTCTTGTTTAACTAAACTCAATCTAAACCAGCTGCAGAACAAACTTGTATCATTTTCATTTTGCAGTAGAAAATAGTATTGTTCAGAAAGTTGCCTCCACAAGTTGCTTTGTAATCACCTTCCTTCTGGTTTATCCTGAAGTGACTCTGTGATGTTTAAGTCTAGAGACTGTTCTGTTCCACTAATGTTTTATTATCTTAAGATAAACCATTGAGCAGCCAGTTTGTCTGCCTTTGCTACTTGACATTTGCTCATCGATAATTATATACAGGACTACTCCCTGCAGTATTGTCCTATTATTATGCATCACAGGGTGCAGTAACACAGTTACAGTTTGTTCTGCCTGTCATCAACAAATGTTGAAGCATCTGTAGCAAATGCTTGAATTTGTTTTCTTTCATTGCTGCAGGAAAGATTTAAGTTAACCAAATTCTTAATCCTCAAAAAGGCAAATGTTCTGATAATATTTACAGGACATTTCAGTTTTTAGTAACCTACAGTGTAAAAGCAGTTTGTCCCTCACTTTTGTGCCATTTAAGGATTCTCACTGGACTTAAAGTGCTTGCAATTTAATAAAAATGGGAAAATTGGCTCATGTTCAAATGAAAAGAAGAAATGTGTTCAGGAATACTCACAGTAGAACAAACATTTGGACTGGTCAAAAAAAAGTGGAACCTAGTATCTTGAGGAACAGTGACACCCTATGGTCACTTAGGCTTAATGTGAGGATTTGAAAAAACCCACAATCATCTCAGGCAAGAATCGGGAGTAAAAGACAAATTTAAATTTAATTGCGATTTGTGGAATATAATTCAACATCAACAGAAAATGTGCAGATTGTGCACGCTCACACCAGCAATAACCAATATTCTTTGGCCTTATATAAAAAAAAAGAGAGCATGACACATTAACAGTCATGTGACAGTCATCCTGTAGTAAATACCATCAAGTCATTATTAAATGTAAACTTCCAACACTGTGAGCAGAACAACTAAACTCTTTTCAGTTCGAATGGTCAGTGATGGAGGAGGACAGCTCAGAGATATAAAACCAGATCTACGTGGAAGGTTGGACACCAGTAGTGAGAGCATGCCAGAGGATGTTTGTTGTGATTTCATTTAACACACATGTAGCAGAACATGTTTTTGCTGACCCCAAGTGGTTGAAGTTCCTGCTCTGCAGCAGTGTGGTGCTCTTTAGATTTCATTTATTTCTATTCTAGTGTTTATTTAATTTTCATCCACACAGAATTCACCCACAATCTATACAGCTGCATAAGATTTAATTCTAGAAGTTTTTTATGGCAGTATATAATAATATTTCTATATTCGTATTTATGTATTTTATATACGCATATGCATAAGAATCAATTGGCAGAATAAAGATTTATAAAGATTTAATATTATTTATTCATGGGTTTTAAAACATCATCACGTGCTCAGAAACTTGCAAAATTCAAATCACTTATCATTTACAATGTGCATCAACAGAATATTGATCAAATATCTGAAACTAGACTGTAACTCTGACCATAATGATAAAGTGACATACTGAATAAACGACGTGAACAAGTGCAGAGGAGTTTCAAACTTCACGACCCTCACTCCGCTGCCCACAACTACAAGGACCACAATGCACTGCACGGAAACAGCGATTATCATGACACATCTCCAACATAAGCAAAAGCTTCCTCTTTGGAGGCATCTCTCCTGCTAACCTTGGGCAGAGGTTGGCTCCTCCTGACGCCTCGGCGCTTTGACAAGCCGGGAAACCACCCGCATTGACGGGCAGAGACCGTCGGGCACTGGAGGATGTGCGAGAAGTGAAGCCGCAGCTAGCCCTGGAGCTCGGAAGCTCGCTAAAACACAGCTCCACTAGCTAGCTCATGCTAACGCTGGCTAGCCGAGGTGAACCGAATCCGTAACATTTAGCGTCCATCAGAAAGGAGCAGCTGACAGGCGCGAGTGTTGACATCACGTCTCCGGGACGTGCTACTCAACAGCAGCAGCACACGGTGAGTAGCTAACTAGCTTCTCTGACCCTGGTGGTTTTTAACGGTGTTTCCTGTTGTGGACTGCAGACGACTAGCTAAACTTGACGGCTAAAGTTAGCGGCATGATGCGATGACTTGGAAACAGGCAGCCAGTGTGTGTGTGTGTGAGGCTGGTGTTTGGACTGTGTCCACTACACTTCAGCAAAGGTGATTAGAACATGTTTTCACGCGAGTTGCCACAGCCCAGGAGAGAAAACGCTCATTTCCTGCAGTTACTAAATAACTTGTGACGCTGCTGCTGTTGTTTGTGGTAAAGTTACTCATTTTGATAACCAAGGGCTCGTGTCCCACTTGTGTTGTAACGTCAAAACCACAGTGTCATAACTGATCTTTGCTAAAGGTTAAAACATCAACACTAATTAAGACCGTGACCAAGAAGTTGCACATGAGGAGAGAGAGGGAGAGCTTGCAGACATGTGACCCTCAGTTGACCCTCCATGTTTCTGCAGAAAGGTTTAGTGACTGTGAGATAAGTTAACACAGTGATGTGTGTGTTCACCAGGCTGCACGGTGTTGTAGTTAGATGTCTCTGTTGGGCCAAGTTGTAAGTCTGCATCCTGGTGACACGTTCACTGACATCTGCCCTGCTCCCTGTCGATGAAGCTCTGCTGCCAGCACACAGAGGAGAATGAAGGGCAGGGGGATGTGGTGAAAAGTGTTATCGTTAAAACATTCTTCTAATCTAGTCTAGATCGATGATCATCAATTAAAAGATCACGTTGACGCCTGATAAACAGCAACAGACTTCACAAATCTGAAGTGTAGTTATGTGTTATATCTCCTCACTGTGCTTGCACAATGCATAAGCAATATATCAATATATATTGATTTTTTTTTCTATTGATGAAAATCATTCTGCAGTTGTTGTTATTGTTGCTGTATGCTCAGTGCTCAGTGATAACCACAGACAGAGACATGTTTTTTGGGGGGTGGGGGTCATCTCATTAAATCTGATTAATCCCTTATTATTACTTTGCACAAATATGCATCATTATAAAGTATCAACTGCTACAACTTCACTTTTAAAAAGGTTCCAAGGACCACTTGTCTTTGGCACCTTTTTTAATCTCCCTGGATGCCCTCCCCCATTTATCAGTGTAGTTTCTGCCCACCTTGGTTGTCATTCCGGTTCCTCTGCATGCTAAAAAAGTCTGTGATCAAGTTGATTGCATTTACCCTCAATGATAATCTCTAAAAGGTCTTATGCATTTAAAGGCATGGATTTTAAATGAAGAGATAGGTCACCACGACTGAATTAACTTTGATGCCAATATCTTTTCAGCTGTCCTTATGCCAAATAGACTTAGAACTCATTTGCAGTGGGTCCTTTCTCTATATCACCAGTGTAAGGTCTCATTGCAAGAGTTCTTTTGTGCAGTTTTTGGGCTGGGAAAAGTTTTAAGTATCATGTGGTTCAACAGGAAACAGTTCAGCGATCATCCACACGTATAATCCTTGTTAACATTACAAGAGCTGACTGTTCAATAAATTTGCAGTCAATATGGTTTCAGGTTGGTGCTTACCAAGCCAAATTATTCACTGTCACATCTCTGTTTTTATCTCTTCCTAACAGCATATCTGTAGAGTCACAAATTACAGACAAAACACAAAGATGAACACGTCCTTCCCATGGTTTCCCATGAATTTTACCTGGAGTGGGAGGGTGTTGTGAGAAAGGACAGAGGAGGAAGGAGCAGAAGGAGACTGTAAACAAAAGTCATGAATCTCCATCAGGTCCTCACAGGGGCTGTCAACCCTGGAGACAATTGTTTCTCTGTCGGGAGCGTCAACAATGTGCCATTCACGGTAAGATATTTCAAGCTCTGGAAATACTTCCCTCCCAGACACTTATGAGCTCTGATTGCTTGGGTGCTGCTCAACTGATTGGTCACAAAACTGAGGAGATTTGTATTCATTGAGGTTTTGTTATGTAAATGTATTAGGAGCAGAAGCACAGGATGGAAAAAGGACCAAAATGCTTTACTAATGGAAATGTTGCTCTGTGGAGCAAGAATTAAGTTGAGGTGGTGATCCTGTTCAGTAACTGGATAATAGATATTGAACACATTATTGATGTGACTACTCATCTACCATCATAAAACAGCTTTGCCACCGCATATATCCATTTATGACATTATGCACTCAAAACATACTACTGCTGTATAAAGAATGAAACCTGTCGCATAAAATACAATAGTAGCCATCATAACAATTTGGTTGCAAGCCTATTGGTCCAATTACACTCAAAGTAGGAGTTATAGGACATAAGATGAGGACAGGAGGCTTTTTTCACAGCAGACATTTTGATGTGTCATAGTAGGAAAGCACAGATGCTCCAGTCATAATTCTATTCTATAAGTTCCCCAGTGAGCCATGGCAGCATGATGTGACAAGGAACTGTTCAGCCAAAACAAAAAAACTTTAATTTTATTCATAAAATATGACTCATCATTCATGCTCTGTTTTTAATTGTTAACAGGCAAAATCGGATTATTTAGGGACAGACACGCAGAAAAAAGTGCAGAGCTGGATGATAATCTTTATTCTCTATTTAAAGCTCTTTGCTAAAACCAAATCATGATCCAGCCAATACTATATAACACAAAAGTAATGTGCTGGACTCAGCTAAAAGTTATTTCTTATTAACTTTTAAAAGCCCCTCGGCTGGTAAGGTCTAAAATTTGCTTTAAGCTGGTTTGTCATCATTTTTGCTGAATGCAAGGAAATATACCACCAGCTCCGTCATTATATATACTTATTATATTTGTTCTCAAAGTCTACTTGTCTACAGGACAACTAAAGTCAAGTTTAAAATTGTATGAATCAACAATTCCACAAATTAATTTCCACCAGTTTGAGGAACAACTAGAATGTAAAAAATGACACTGTAAGAGTCAGAATCAGAGTCGTGAGTCCTACCAGGGATTCTGATGCTGAAAATTAACACTAGAACATTCACCGAATACCAATGATATAGGTTTGCTTGACACAGTACCTAGTACTGTTTGTCTGAATGGAATAAAACTGAAGGCTATGTTACTGTATAAGTGTATGTTAACTGTGTAATTCAAATGCTTTATAGTGCTGAAGTCCATCTCCTCTTCTGCAGGAAGTTCTGTGTGGGGTATAAGACTTTGTTCCATGGCTGAAATTCAAAGGCAGAACCTCAGACTGCGTTTGCACTCCATGATCTAAAGCTACTCACATGCTTTTCAGAGAGTGGATCAATAGGATAACTATTTCTGTCCCTCTGTCCTCTAGTGAAGAGTCACAGTGAATCACAGCTCATGTGAAGATATTCTTTAGAGAGCCACAGGAATAGAGTGTATAATTCAGATTCTCATCTGGTTTGGCTCCAGAGCTGTCATATGGTGTCATAAGACAAGTGCAGTTCAAGTGACCCTTCATGCAATTCTCTCTGGACGGATGTGGGAATCATCTTCGTCTCTCTCCTCCTTGTGCTTTCTCTTTTGTCTGTCTGAAACAGGCCTATGCGTCAGGTTGCGACGTGGTAATTTTGGGCAGTGACTTTGAGCGACTGCAGATCATCCCAGGAGCCAAACATGGCAACATTCAGGTCGGCTGTGTCGACTGCTCACTGCAGGGTGGACAGGTAAGAGTGATGGACTGGTTCTTATCAGGTCATCATGATCTGTCATGTTCCTGAAATACCAGTCGTGTTAAACACATACATTATTCCACTTTTAAGTGATGTTTGTTTTGTAGGTATTACTGAGATGTATTCTTTGTCTTACAGGCAAACTTAATTGAACTGAAAATATACTCGCAGTGCATTTTGATACTTAACCTTGTTGTAATGGAATGACAATATTGCGCTATGGGCAAAAACAATATAAAGGCTGTGCTACAGACAGTGCTGCAGGATTTCAGTAATATAATACACTATAATCATACCCTACTTCACTGTAATGGGTAAAATAGAGCTGATCCAAATCTAAAAAGAAAAACTTGTGGGCTTTACATGTTTTTATTTGTTTTTCAATGGCCACATTAGTGTGTTTGAATGTTTTTTCTCATTATGTGTGGTACGCAAGCTAGTGTTGGTGAAATCATACTTATACTTGACTCATATCCATTTCTTATACATTTGCTAATTTGCCTACAGGGCTCTGTTCTTTTGTACTTTTGTGGAAGATTAACTGCAAAGCCGCAGCTCCGTTGCACTCTTTTGTACTGTTGGCAGCTTTTGTTTTCAGGAAAGACATTTGTTTGGCAACATCAGAGGCTGTGTAATAAACTTGAGCTTCCAATGTTCAACTCCAAGTGAGGAAGAAAATCACCCAGTAAAAGCATGTAGTTTTACACAGGGACATTCTCTGATATCCCCTCTAATGAGCCCTGTTTATTTTAAGAAGTGTTGACACACATTAAAGAAAAAATGTATGGTTATATATCTGTGGAACTGAGACAATAACAAGTTGTCTTGTTTCCACGTTGTTTGCTGCAGGAACAGATGAATTAGTTTGATTCGTTTTAATAGTTTTGATAACAAATGCAGAGCTGAATCAGAATTTGTTTAAATGTTTTGGCAGTACTGCTGGTAGACTTTATAAAGGAAGTTGAGGCAGATGTTGACCCAGTTTTACGAATGAATAAGAATCAAGGATTACAGAATAGGTTTGGATTCAGCACAGGCTTTAAGTTTGTAATTCACAGTTTCCTATTCTTGATATTATCTGTCCAGACCTTTGATGTAAAAGTTTTAAAAAACCGAGACTTGATGGTTATGCCTCTGCAGAATACTAATGTAAATCTTCCATATCTCTCCAGCTTGATAGACGGCTTTGTTTTTTTTAGTAGAAGCCAAAGCACTCTTACTGCAGTCATGGTATTCATGGTTGCTCTGAGCTACTCTGTAACAGTGCTGCATTCAAATGCAAAAGGAGAATTCAAGTGTTTCTCCATCTGTATAAACTTGACAAATTATTTCATTAAGATGTTACAGTCATCTTGCCAGACCATCACTGTAATGTAGTTTTTATTTGGGGAATGTGACAGCATTGTTAGAGCAGACGACAGGCCTGATTTAATTCAAATGGGAAAAAAATGTTCACCCAAGCCTTCACCACTCCCCTCATGTGATGTTTAATCCAATTCAGTTTGTCCAGACCTAACCTCACATGCCTTCAGCACAGTGTAGTGTCTGTAAAAACATGCTCAGTTGGTATGCATGCCTTTATCACAACTGTGATATTGACAATGCTATTAGATTACTCAGCATGGTTGAGCGCTCATAATGTAAATAGTGTAACACTTCAAATATATTTGTAAGCATTTGTGCCCTGCTGCCATGGAACATTTATTTTGAAACTTTTAACAAAAGAAAGAAAGTGATAGCAACATTTGAACGCAGTTAAATTACCTCACCTCACAATATAAATGCCTACTTGTTATCTATGGTTTGCATTTACAATTCAAATGCAGAGCAACGCTATAGAGACAGAGCAGGGAGCAATATCCACTAAAGCAGAAAGCAGGAGCACTGAAATTTAAAAATGGGCACCCATTGGTTAGCCATCTGAAACAGTTGCTGCTCCTGGTTATAATAACTTCTGGAGTGATCTCAGAATCTCAGTTGGTGATCACGACCACAGAGAAGGAGACTTAATGTCAAATCGCTGCTTTTTTCTCATGGTTCACATTTAATCAAATTGTAGTGGAGACAACAATGGAACATATTATGCTCTTAAAGAGCTTAATATACGCACATTTACACACGTCAGTGCGTGACTCACTCATTCACAGAAGTCACTCGATGACAGTCTGTATTTTATTTACCCCATTTGAGACACAGCTTGTCTTATCCAAGCCCTGAACCTTGTTAAGTCATGTTCATTGCCATAGAAATGTCATCCATTCAATCTGTAACATTGTGACTGTGGCTCCCATGAAAAGCTCATGAGCACGGAGCCCTAAACAACGCATGAATGGGAGGTGTGCAGTCGACAAGATAACGTTGACTCATCCCTGACTTGTTATAGGTTCAAAGTATTTTTGGCTTGTTGTCCAGGAACTATGCTAATTTATTTTGGATGTTATGGTTTATAGAGAAGTCTATAGTTTGTTTTTGGTTCGTCCTAATTAGAAAAATCAGAAAGGATTGACATCCATTACTCACCATCTCAATTGTGAAGTTTGTTAGTTTACTGTTTATGTCCATTAACATTTATTCTTGGAACAAATTGTTACTTTTAAAGCCTGATCGATTTACTGGTTGGCCAATATGAGCCTTTCACGGGTATATAACGTTTTGCTGAATAAACAATTGTGTGCAATTATTGTGAAATGCACGTTATTTTCATATTTAAGTTCTGTTTATTTGGATTTTTTTTTTTTTTGCGATAAAGTATTTGGTTAAACTGTTAAAATATTCAGCCTCAGTTATATTTCTTTGTCATTAGGATTTGATTATGCCATTTCCAGGAATCATTGCCAAATTGTATTTATTTATATATATCGGGTAATATATCACTATCATAAATTTTCACTCTAAATTTTACTCCCAATATCATTATTGGCATCCTAGCCCTTGCTGCTCTAACAGTCAAATTGTGTTTGTTTTATTGTAATTTTCATTGACAAATTTACACTCTTTGCATACATAAAAATGTAAATATATGTGTAATGATATATTGATTCACTCTGAATCAGAAAACATGTCTTGATTTATAATGGGTTGCATTTTCTTTTCTCTGCTGACAGATTGCAGCTTCCTATGGAAGCATTGTGTGCGTCTTTGAGCCTGTTCAGCACTCAGATCAAAAAGATCCATCGTTGACTGTGAGTAGTCTACATCCTTCTCCAATTACAGCGTGGTCATGCATGCAGTCACATCATCCTGAACAAGACATTTTTCTTTCAGGGGCTGCTCTTGTACAATTTGACAGACATCAGAATATTTTCACTCTAATCTTATAAGAAAGTCACCAGGGAAGAGCAAATATTTAACACGTGTTCACATTCTTACTGAAATATTCTTTCAAATCTTGCAGTCATTGTCTCTTTGCTATTTATTCCTACTCTTTATTCAGTGCAGACATCCTATGTGCACCTCTCTCATTACAGAAGTTCTCTGCTGTAACTGCTGCCGTCCATGTGGCCTGATCGCATGTGGCTCACATGAGAGCAGCTTCACTGCTGGTTCCAGTTTTGCAGTTGTAACCAGTAGTACAAGTGATGGGGGGACATTATTATTATTTATCCCATTTTAACATTCATGTTTTGTGTATTCCTTCTCTGCAGAAGTTGAAATGCCAGTGGCAGAAGACGGGTCAGTTTGTATTACATTCTATGGTACGGAACCTTGCCTGGCACCCTACAGGTAATTAATGTAACACACCCACACCAAAATAACAATGATGTCCTCAAAAAGTTGGGTAAATTGGTACATTTCCCAGATTTGCTTGATGCTTCTTTTTATTGTCTCTCCAGGTAGCACTCTCCTAACAGGCTCTAGTAGCCTCCAGTTGTGGTCTAATGTTGATGGAGTGAAAGATGAAGCTGAAGAAAGGGGAAAGCCGGAAGAAATGACCATGAGAGACTCTCATTGTTCTTGGAGGTGTATCTGGCAGAGCAAGTAAGAACTACGATTTTGCAAAGGAGCCTTTCAATAGAAATGTTCTTTTTTTATGACATTATCAACATTATTTTTGTAGTTATTTACTAATTACAAAATGTAATAAAGCTAACTCCAATACTGGTACGTGTAACTTGAATGCAGATGCATAATTTTTTTTAACTTGTTTTATTCTGTCTTAAACAGTTGATGCCATATCGTTTGTATCTGAGAATATAGACGAATGTGGTCGTGTGTGGTGCGTTATTAAAGTATTAGAGTATTAAAATGTCATTTCATATTTTTTCTTTGTCAAAAGGACAGCCTCTCCAGTCAGTTTAATGAGGTTTTCACCTGATGGGGAATTCTTTGCTACTGCTGGACAAGTAAGTAGTTGTAACAGGAGTTGCTTAACCTGTATGGATTGTGATGCTAACTATCCAATGTCATGCTAGCATTGATCATTTGCAATGAGAAGTAATTACACTGTAATTGTAAAGTAACTAAACAATACTGCTTTCTCTTAGTGTGTCCCTTTTTTCACAACCCAATGGCTTTAAATTGTAATAGCACAACTTAAAACACAACATCACTCTCGTCTTCAGGATGACTGCTTAGTAAAGGTCTGGTACAGCACCAGTAAGTGGAAGTCAGGTGTTTCCAGACTCTTCACTCCTCCACATCCCAGTGTCAGTGTCCAGGAAGAGCTGGCCTTCTCCTTTGTCTACCTGGCTCATCCCCGTTCTGTTACTGGCTTCTCATGGAGGAAGACCAGCACGTGCATGCCAAGGTATTGACACTGTTCAAGCAACATTTCACAGCCTTCCGCTCTACAGCCATGATTCATCTATTTTCTCATCTGGCTCATATTGACTTTAGCCTGCACTGTTGACAGTAACAATAAGAAAAGCACAAGTTGACAGACATTAGTTAACTTTCAGGGTTTGATCATAGCCGTGGGAGAGATGCACAAGTGTTGTCAAAATTTTTCCTTTACAGATAAATCCACATGCTGTAGGTTTCAACCATTCAAATATCTATATGTGCCCAATCTGTCCTTAACAGGGCAAAGCAATAAAATGAGAAATAACACTTGCATACAACTTTATCTCAAGGTTCCACAAGTTTGCCATCTACTGACAGAGAGGCAAGATATTTCCTTTGTCCTAGATGATGGACTTATCGCCTGATGAATTTGACTGACCTTTTAAGCAGACTTCAACCTAACCTGTGTTTAATTATCCTTTTCCTTTCCCCTTTCCTTCCTCTCTCCTAAAAGAGGTGCAGTGTGTAATGTTCTGCTCACCTGCTGTAAGGACAGCGTTTGTCGACTCTGGGCAGAGACGTTGTTGCCCGGTGACAGCCTCCTGTTTGGTCCCCACCAAAACCACGGCTCTGGCCAACACAGTGACACACTCAGATGTGCAGGTCCTACGAGAAAACACGGCTGTAATGGAAAGACACAAGGAAATACAGCACAGGAGGTGAGAGACTCTTCTGTTACTTTTACAGCTGCCCCATTTATTTGGGGACAACTTGATAAAACAACTGTATCCTTATTCCTCAGTCCAGCAGTAAATTCTACCAACATCGTGCTTCATTTACTTCTTACTTGGATATCATTGCCATCATTTTACAATAAAATGCACTGATTAAGAAAGTTTTATAACCAGTCATCTTAAATCATCATTAGAACATTTGAATATTGACATAAGCTTGGGTCAAATGCTTTAATGTGTAAAACCTTATCCATTTGAGAATATCATCTTTTTCGGTTACAAAATACAGAAAGAAATACCAGAATTTTCTTTGTTGTGGGGTTTAAATGTGCACAAATAACCCTGAAATAGAAGCCAGACTACTATATTTTCAACGCTGCTGATGCATGTCATTAGGGAACTGCAGAGATGAGAGAAAAAGAGCAAAGGGAGACTGGAGAAGGAGATAGAAATATAACTGAGGCTTAGTGGAGTTAAAAGGGAAAATTAATTGGCTATCAGACATGAAAAAACTTTCTGAAGCTTTGTCGAGGGCTTAGGAGAATCGGTGAAGAATATTGGCCTCCTTTCCATGATCTGTAAAACACTTGAAAATTGTAACTTCTGATGGTTGTTTTTATGTTTCACTCTGCTGCTGCTAGCTCACCTTCAACGGTAGTGTCGTCTGTGACCTAGGTTGTTGCTGACTGTCTGGCCACTAGGCCCCAAAGACAATGCTTAAATCCATTTTAATATGGACATTTAAATGTCCATGTTTAAATGGGTCTCACTGGCACTTAAAGCCCAGAGCACATGAGATTACAAGGAATATAGGTATGCAAATGTTTCTACTTTGCCTTGAGGGAAGTCTGCAAGAGTAGTTATGTGGAATTATTCATTAGAAATCACAGGCTGTATTCTGAGGTAATTCTCTCCCTCCCCAACTCAAGGGATGGACAATACTGAGAAAGCACTTACACTGCAATCCTCTACAATCAAATTTTTCTACTTGGCTAACTTGAACCAATTAGAAGTATGTGTGTCTGCTTTGTTCACGTCAATATGAGACTTGCACTTTCAAATAGTATCTTTACACACATTTATTTTTAACGACAGTGGAATTTAAAATCGCCAACGTGTCAAAAAAATAATCCACATGAACCGAAAGATGATCTGTAATTGGGATTAAGATTATTGTTACAGGTTTAAACTTGTCATCACAGAGGCTCAAATATAGAACTGTACATATTTACACATTTTTGCAGAATGAAAAATGAACCCTAATAACATAACCAAGGTACTAATTTAAATTTTAAGACCCCTCTCTCCTATCCACTCTCCATGCTTCCAGTTTCTTTCCATTTCTGTTTTGTAGACAAACTGGGCTGTAAAACTTAAATGTCTTTTAACATCAGTAACATCACATTAAATTCACACCCTAAAGCAGAGTAGGTTTGTTCAGGCTGGGAGGAGAATCCTGGTTAGTAAGCACAACTTGAATCATTCACAATAACAAAAAGCAGGTTTGACCTGCATTTCTCTGTGTGTACCTATAGTGTTTCACTTCACTGACCCACCCTATACAACAGGTTATACAATATGGTTTCAGGTTATTTAAAACAGTTCTTTCAATGGAAACAACATGTTGGCCTAAATCTAAGGCAGTCTATCAACCCAAGAAACAACAACAACTGTCTGTTTTTAATTATTAATGTTTTCTTCACAGTTGAATTATCAAGAATCATGGCACTTGTCCTCTTACCAGGATGTACCCCAACCCTCCCTGACTGGGTGCCCGTCCATCCATCAGAGCTGCCACTACAACCACAGGAGGATCAACAGCAACATGCCCCATGCCAACGCTCTCTGCCACTTCCACATTGCTGCCAGCATCAACCCAGCCACAGGTTAGGTTCAAAAAATTAAGTTCCTCTTACTGGTTGTTGATGGTTGATCTAAATTTAGTGAAGTATTAAAGGTGATGATTTTTCTAACATGCGATGGATGCATGGATAAGATGCAAACAAAGGTGTCAACTTGGAAAGACAAAGATAATTGAGAGCTTTTTGGCGAACTAAAAACATTTGTTTTTCACAGCAGAATGTATATGACCTGTCTCCTGTATGCTTGACGTCATCCATCTTGATATTTTCCTGTTGTTGTGAGCGTTTCTTTCACCAGCTGCGTTCTTCATATGTGAAAAGACCATGTTCAGACTCAATTTTCCAGATGATTAGCAGAATTCATGTCTAGAAATGCCTTTCCACTACAGCAACATATTAGTTATTTGTAAACCATAGAGGCTACATCAAGAATAAAATCAGCAGTAGGTCAGAGGGCTTTGCCTCTTTCTTTTGGCAAAAAGGGCTGTAAATGTTGTTCATTGCCTGAGGTTGTTCAACATTCCAGTGTGTTTTTCGTCCCTCAGAGAAAGCTGCTCACAGCAAATGGAAGTTATTTTCATTTTGTTCCTCTTTGTTTTTTAAGGGTAGCTTAATTTGACCTGAATAGCCTCTTATTCCTGTAGGCTCTTATTTGTATGCTTGAATTATGTTTAAGCATATTTCAAACCATGCTCATATTCATGGAAGTTTATTTTCTCCAGCATGCCCCCAATCTAATGGAATGCAAATTCCTGTTATTCTTCAGCTTTTAGTCTAAATGTTAAAATGTCTTTACTACAGACATTCCTCTGCTGCCCTCAATCTCTTCTCTGAGTGCCGCGGATGACGAGGAACCTGGAGGTCCTTTTACCGTCCACTGGCTGAACAACAAAGAGCTTCACCTCACTTTAGCTATGGAAGTCTTCCTGCAGCAGCTCAGAGGCAGCCTGGAGCAACAGAATGAATGCTCCCATGAAGGTACAGAAAAATATTTGGATCAGGCCAACACTTTATTTGAAGGAGTGTGGATAAGAAGCTGGAGCAAAACTGCCAAAACATATTGCATTCTGCTTTGTTTTTCACACTGATCTTCAGAGTTTATTTGAACACTGTGATTTGCATTCTCTACCCAGAGCCTGAAGATGAGGATAACTTTGATGACGAGGACAATGGGAGCAGACCAACTGACCCCAAAGGACCTGAGGGTGTGGAGCTTCCTCTGGCAGCAGTGGAGCACCAGGTTGACGTGCTGTTAGAGGAGTGGAATAAAGGGGCGGACATGTTGTTCAGTATTCACCCCATGGACGGCTCTCTGTTAGTCTGGAATGTGGACTGGTTGGATGAATATCAGCCAGGGATGTTCAGACAAGCTCAGGTACATTTACTATGATGTGCTTCATATTTATGTAAAATAATTGAATCCACTTACTGAATGATTTAATCATCTCTGTAAACTAAGTGGATTTTCCTTTGTTCACTCTTTCAAATGACTTGTTTGTATTCACATTTTCGAGAGGTGCTTCTCAGGGAAAGCATTAATTCATCTTTCATCATTCATTTCAGTCAGGTTGTGAATCATTCTGACAGTCGCGATGGTCCAGCTCCTATTCTAATGGCTTCTCAACCAGCCGTTCAGACAATTACATTCTAATTATGTGTGATTTCATATCAAATTCCCGGCTGCATTTTTATTAGCAGTGAAATAATGAGAATCTCTTGACGTGGCAGTTAGTCAGTCGGGCAAGGCAGCAAATAGAATCCCAAGTTTCATTACCATTCAGGCTGATTAAGCCTGTCTGCTTTGATAAGATGACACAGACAGGATCCTTGAGTACTGTTGAACATTTTTCTTTTTTACATATGTGAAGGTGCAAATAAAGGAAACTTCTCTATTTGTGTCTTCGTGACTCTGTTTATGTCAGATATTCACTTATCACTCAACTTTAGAAAGAAGAACAGAAGAATGTCAGCCTTTTGTTTTGAGCTCACCCTTTTTGTAAACCACATTCACATCGGAAGTTTTTCTGTTTCCAAATATGTTTCTTCTTCTTTCAAGCTAAAAAATAAATGATAATCTAAATCCTTTTTAACACTGAAAAGTTTGCATTGTTAAAGCTTTCATTGCTCTGATGTCCCTCTTCCTCTTTCAGGTGTCGTTTGTGTCCCGTATCCCTGTGGCATTCCCTGCAGGTGATGCGATCTCCCTGAGCCACAGCGTTGTTATGTATGCCTGCAACAAGAATGTGGATCTGGCTATTCAACATGGCAGACAACGACCATCTGGGAGCACATTGCCTCAAGCTAAATCTGCTTTAATAAGCTACAGAGATCAAGGAAAAACTACGCCCAGCAGTAGTCTTCGACTCAGCATTTTCACCCCGTATGTCCTCATGATCTCCAAACACGCTGATGGTTCCCTGAACCAGTGGGCAGTCAGTTTCGCAGAGGACTCTGCTTTCTCCACTGTCCTCAGCGTCTCACACAAGTCACGATATTGTGGCCACCGCTTCCACCTCAACGACCTGGCCTGTCACTCGTTACTCCCTCTCCTCCTCACCACCTCACACCACAACGCCTTGAGGACACCAGAGGTAGACAGCATCCTGGCTCCTCCAGAGGTTGTTTCGACATCACTACCCCGTGGGTCACGGGCCAGCCGGGCGTCCCTCGGTGTGGTTTCCCAAGATCCCAATGCAATCTACAGTGAGCTGATTTTATGGAGGGTGGACCCAGTTGGTCCACTGTCTTTGTCAGGCGGGGTCTCGGAGCTCGCAAGGATCAATTCTCTCCATGCATCAGCATTTGCTAACGTTGCCTGGTTGCCCACACTCATTCCCAGCAGCTGTTTAGGTGAGAAAATGTTTCTAGGATTGCTCTACTTTATTGAGCATAGCTTCATCATCATCATTATTTAGTTTTGTTTACCAAACACTTATTTTTGGTCCGGTTATATAAAGGAAAGGATTGGGGTTTGGTTTCAATTTTCTATTTCTGAATAACTAACTTTGACCAAGTGAGACCAGCTTTGGGATTTGAATTCTCAAAAAATATGGTTTTTGAAATAGTTCTCTCACCCTCATTTGTAACTCTCCTCTGTCCCTCTCCTCTTTCCCTTTTTAGGTGTATACTGTAACTCCCCCAGTGCTTGCTTCGTGGCTAGTGACGGCCACTCACTCAGGCTGTATCAAGCTGTTATCGAAGCAAAGAAACTCCTGAGTGAGCTCTCCAACCCTGAGATATCAGTAAGTCCTCAAATGTATCAATTCCTTCGATTGTAATTTAGTGAGTTAAGAAGAAGCTATACATTTGCTGTCTTGCCAATTAATTAGTGTCAGCCTTGGATGAAAAATGACATCAAATAACGTGAGAATTAAGACGAATGGCATGTCAGTGATCTCTCTGACGTAATACTGCCAAGTTTAATTCAACAAAAAGTGACAGTTGATATTAAGCCTTTATTAATTAAAAAGTCGCTGTCTCTCTTATTGCATCTAAGTTTAATTTTAGAAATTAAGACTATACATTTGCGTTAGTTTAAACTATTTAATACTAATCTGAAATATGAATGTCTTTTTCTCTTCAGAAATATGTTGGGGAAGTGTTCAACATGATCAGTCAGCAATCCACAGCAAAACCAGGCTGTATTATAGAGCTGGACGCCATTACTGACTTTGTAAGTATAAATGATGCCAAAGAAAATGTAGTGTATTCTAAAACATTTCTCCTGCTCTTGCTCTTTTGTAAACATCCTTGATATTTAATACATTAACTAAAACTTAACCCCTGAAAATAAAACCTTTTACTGAACTACATTTAAAAGCCAAAGTTGAAATCTGGAGCGTTTGTATAAGAACCGTTGTGCGATAGAGTTCAGAGTCTCTGTGAAAGGTCAAAACGGGTGCAGAGCAAACCTTCACTCTTCCCCTCAGGCAGCATGTGAATGTGTTTGTGTTGCATTGACACAACTCCTGCCTGTGTTAATGTGTTTGCATATTTGGACCCCAGTAGATGAAGTGTTTTGTTCAGTGTCTGTATCTGTTATGGTTTGATCGTAGCTGTGTTGATGTGTTGTTCTCTACAGCAGGGAAAGGAGACGCAGCTCCTGCATGTTTTTGAAGAGGATCTGATCCTTGGCAGTGAGAGAACAGAGAATACACAGGACACTCCTTATTCTCCTCACACTGGTAAAAATAATTTATGTTATTCTAGCTCAGAAGTTTGATGTATGCAACCTTTCAAACTTCATTATTATTCTCTGTGTTACGCTCTGCAGCCTCCGGTGAGCCAACCTTCTCGGCACGTTTTTTCCTGGTGGTGGTCGAATTAACTCCGACAGGTCGCTCCCTCCTCCACATGTGGCATCTCCATCTTGCTGCACGACCAATCACCATGGGTAGGTACTTTGAAATTAAATTTTAATTCACAAATGCTTAAGGACACGCCCTGTTTATCTGTCACCTTGTTTAATACCAAATGAAATCAATTAATGACAGATCAAACAACAACTTTACTCCTGAGAAAGGCACAAATACTCGAAGCCTTCTGACAAAGTTATGATATCTGCTAGTGAGCATTAACTCTAATAGGTCCTGGAATTTGTCAGTTTGTATTGAATATGTAGAAATAATTACTTCTGAGGTACCTAGGAACTTGTGGACAATCTTTTGAGAATATTATGTAAAATGAATTTACTGTTATGGCAGTATATTTACAAACCTCTTTCTGTTTGTGTCATCCCAGAAGAGACCAAGACAGAGAAAGATGCCACCACAGCTTCTCCCATGAACAGCTCTCACTTTGACTTTGACACATTCAGTTCTCCAATAACTCAGAAGAGTAAAACCTGCACCTCCAGTCTGCAGAGTGCTTGTCGCCTCATCCTCACAACGCACAGACTATACAGCCAAGAGATGGCTCTTCCAGAAGGTGTAGAAGCCATCAGTGTTACACCCTCAGCAGGTGAGATCATACAAAATATCAGGACCCCGAAAAAGAAACTGCCAATTCAAAGTTTGTCAAATTGAAAAGATTTTTTTTTAAATTAAGATAATCAGAAAAACTTCCTTGGCTCATATTTTACCACCAACTTTCCTCCTAGGTCACCTGAGTGCATCCTGTTCTCTGCCAGCTGGCCGTGTGCCTTATCTCCTCGCTACTTCCTGTTCTGATGGTAAGGTGCGCTTCTGGAGGTGTAATGTTGTGGCGACTGGACCCTCCAGTATGGACACTTTGCTGTACCAATGGGAGGAGTGGCCTCTCCTGCTGGAGGAGAGGTTTCCCAACAGCAGCACAGTAAGTGTGCCAGGTCGCCCCATAGAGGTCAGCTGCTGTCACACTGGACGGATTGCAGTTGCCTACAGGCAGATAACAAACACATCTTTGAATTCAACACTTCATCTGAACTCTAATGGACTGTTGACATCTCCTCCTACCCTGGCATCCTCTCCCTATAGCACCCACCTGACCCCAACTCTGACTGTACAGCGTAGCTCAAATCCCACCCCAAGCCCCAACGTAATAAACATTAAAGAACCCTTGGTACACATCGGCATCTTCCAGTGTGAGTCCACCGGTGGTTCACAGTGGATTCTCGAGCAAACCATCGTCCTGGACAGCACAGATCCCACACCTAACTGTGGTACAACAAAAATGGACTTCTCTTTACCTAACGAGAACTGTCTTGGTTCTACTAGTAAGAGCCTTGTTCATTTGGACTGGGTGTCCCAAGAAGATGGGTCACATGTTCTAACTGTCGGTATTGGGACTAAGATTTATATGTACGGCCGTCTTTCTGGGAAACCTCCAGAACTGGGTCTGTCGTCTGATGCAAGTAGAGAACAGAGCTTGTCTCGTCTAGTTCTGCTTCGATCAGTCGATCTGGTCTCCTCTGTTGAAGGCTCATTACCCATCCCGGTCTCCCTCTCCTGGGTACGAGACGGCATCTTGGTTGTAGGGATGGACTGTGAAATGCATGTCTACTCCCAGTGGCAGCCCCCAACACCACCCAGACCCAGTGCTGTCATTACCCAAGACACCGACATCAGCAGCAGTGTCTCGTCCATAATCTCAGCTGTCAGACAATGCCAGGAAGAGGGACTCAGTCCTGGTGCACCAGTGTCTTCACTAGCTCCTCCCAAAAAGGCCTTGACGAGGTCGATGATGAGTCTGGCTCAGAAGCTCAGCGGGAAGAGGACGGCTTATGACCTGCCTGTAGAGATGGAAGATTCTGGACTTTTTGAAGCAGCTCACCAGCTCTTTCCCACTCTGCCCCAATACCATCCTGTTCAGTTACTGGAGCTCATGGATCTTGGGAAAGTAAGTTAAAAAAATACTCAAATACTCACTATACTTACAAATTGTATATTTGTTTTTTTCTTTACATTTAAAAATAATGGAATTTCCCAGAAGCGTACCCATTTGTTGTGGTTGCGTTACAAAGCAAATACATATAATTAATTTAATATGTGTAACATCATTTGCCTGTCTTAAGGTTCATCGTGCCAAAGCCATCCTCTCTCACCTCGTGAAATGCATTGCTGGAGAAATTGTACCACTTAAAGACAGTACCACCAATCCAGAGAGACGTGTGCGTTCTCGAACCATCGGTGCCAGTGGAAGCACAGCCAGGGATCCCAAGATGTTCAATATCACAGAGAACTCTACCCCCGACTACACGGAGATAAGCTCCATCCCTCCCCTGCCTCTGTATGCCCTTCTAGCAGCTGATGAAGATACATTACCAAAAACTGGTGGGTATACAAAATGTGCATTGAGAAGTTTATTAAGTAACTAGAATGAGAAGGATTTAGAGAAGATCTGAAGTGATTTTCATCCTGTAGTTTTTTCTCATTGTATCTCCAGGGATAAAAAGTGAGAAGTATTAAAGCTGAAACATGTATACAATAAAAAGACAATCTGCTCTGCGGTATTTAATTTTATCTGCTGTCTCCAGAGCAGCAGGTTATTTTTCCTCAGGTGTTTTGTGAAATACACGTCTTATGCAGTTTAGCTCTGCATTGTGCCTCCTTACAGATACAGTGGGCAGTGTGAGTGGAGATAGTGGGCACGGTTCCAGTCACACGGATGCTTACGATGAGCTCTTTCATACACCCAGCATAGCTGACCTGGATCCTCTGGACAATGATCAAGAGGAAACTGGAAACAAGGTCAGTTTCTGTTGGCTTTTGCTTGGTTTCAGATAATTTATATAACAGATAAAAGGAGGATGGCAAAATAGTTGAAATATAACTGTGCACGTCAAGGTTCCTATTTGATATATTGGTGCCTTGAAATAATAGACCAGTCAAAGCTCATGATGTCCCCAGCTAATGCAACAAAATGTAGCCTGGTGTTGGTCAAGTCTCCAGATATTTTCCAAAGGTTGAGGCTTTTGGAAAAGGTTTTGCATCTCCCCCTTTTATCATTATTTCCTCCTTCTCTATATATGTTGTCTAATAAAATAGAAATAGTATACATTTAATTATAGAGACTGTCCTCTGTCCTGTTCCTGTCCGTAGGTTATTGACCTGTCTCAGTACAGTCCCACATACTTTGGTCCAGAACATGCCCAGGTTCTGTCCAGCCACCTCCTTCACTCCAGTTTGCCAGGATTGACTCGTATGGAGCAGATGTCTCTAATGGCGTTGGCTGACACCATTGCTACCACAAGCACAGACCTCAAGGGCAGCCAGGGCAAAAGCAAAGGTACTGCAGGGAAATAAAAAACGGCATGAAGGTCCTACAAGGATAACTTCTCCATTTTATAACAAAATATAATAAATCACTAAACTGTTGTTGATTCACCAGGTGGAGAGACACTTGATGACTGTGGTCTGAAGTTCTTGCTGGCCGTTCGACTGCATACCTTCCTCTCTACCTCCCTGCCTCCAGCGCACAGAGCACAGCTGCTACGGCAAGGTAGAGAGACTGGGCGGGGGTGCCCCCTTTACTCTACGTCTACAATGTGGATAATCTCACGACAAAGTACGAAACAATCCCCATTTTCCACATGTCCTTTTTCTACTATCTACAGGCCTGTCAACGTGTCACTATGCCTGGGCCTTCCACTCTGAAGCTGAGGAGGAGCTGTTGAACATGCTCCCTGCCCTGCAGAAGGGAGAGCCCACCTGGCCTGAGCTGCGCTCCATGGGGGTGGGCTGGTGGCTGCGCAGCATCAACAAGCTGCGCAGGTGTATTGAGAAGGTGAGGTGGCTAATGTCATTAGAGGTTTCATATTCAATGAAGGAGTCAATGCTTAAATCTTAAGCAGTGACCCAGTGCCAATTCAGATAAATAAGATGAATTCTTACAAAGTACAAATTGAACAGGTTGTACAGCCAGTAGTAAGTCAGAGGAGGAGGTATGTATGGAATTGGAAGGCCATCTCTTCGGACTTTAACATTCAGTTTGCATTCATGATTTTTCAATTGAAACTGCCAAACACCATCTAATTCAAGCTTTAATGTGACAATTCCCTTTTTTTGCTATTCAGTAGTGAACAGAATTTAGTTTTAACTGCTGCTCTGACTAATTTTATTTAGGATTTTCTTATTTTTCTCTAAAAAACGTGTACAGAATAATTTAGAGTGTTAACCCTATCTACTGAGGATTTCATTATAAATGAATTGTTGTCATGTAGGTTCAAATTGACATTCTGTCGAGGTTGCTATAGAATGCAACATTAAAATGGAATATGAGCTACTCCCTGAATTTGATCCACAAAGCAAAAACTTTTTTTTGTGGATAAGACAGACTGAGGAGGTGTGAGCTGAATGCATATTTTTTCCTCTGTTTTGTCAGGTTGCCAAGGCTTCTTTTCTGAGGAGCAATGATCCACTGGATGCAGCTATGTTTTACCTTGCAATGAAAAAGAAGGCAGTGGTCTGGGGATTGTACAGGTAGGCAGAAGTGATACATGAAAAACAAATGCACATACAGTCTTCAAGTATTTACCCTTTTATCAGATCACTGAAGGTGTATGACAGCAGTTTTCAAACCATAACAATGTTCCCTCCAGGTCGCAGAACAATGCCAAAATGACGGACTTTTTCCGCAACAACTTCAGCGAGGACCGGTGGAGAAAAGCAGCATTGAAAAATGCTTTTTCACTGTTGGGAAAGCAGCGGTTCCAGCATTCTGCAGCATTCTTTCTTCTAGCTGGCTCCCTGAAGGATGCTGTTGAGGCAAGTGGAAAATAGACATGACATGATGTTTGGAAGAAGCCCATGTTCCTTCAGGTGCAATTGTCACTTTCTAGCCGGCTAAACCTCAGAGACCTTGCTCTCAGAATAAGTTAAGTCATACTCATGCAGGCAGGGTTTGATAAAGCAGAAACACCACATTCACATAAACACATCATGTGACCAGTGGTTCCTTTTTATTATTCAAATAGTTCAATTCATTCCCTGTGGTGTCACCACTAATAAAGTGCATGGTTCTCGTCTTTTTACTTGCAAATCACAAGGGCAGCTTCTGGTCATCTTCTGTACTTGACCTTTTATTCATCAAGGTTACTTCTGTTTATAAAACCCCTGAAGCAATGAGTCACATTATTTCATCAGCATGAGTAACTGGAGCTTCTCTATGCACTTTATAGAAATAAGCATCACCCGTGCAATGGGCTATCATTGACTTTGTTTAGGCTGGGAGGTTGTCTCATTGAAATGCACTTCACAATTTAACAGTCACTAGCGAAGCGAACAACTCAGACAACATCCACTAACTCTTTGCTGTGAGCACAGTTTCATTTATTTTGTTCAATAAAGTTCAATAAAAATAGAAGGATAAGAAAATAATAACTTCAGCAGATCATTAAGCTCCACTACTTTGCTTTCTATCTAGATAATTTCTAAATTGTCGGCTTGTGTCTTGTCTCACATATTCAGTCCTTTGACAATAACGAATAATGATGACTGACTGTGCTTTATTTCCTTCTCCTCCAGGTGTGTCTAGAGAAAATGCAGGACCTGCAGCTGGCTCTTGTGATCTCCAGATTGTATGAGACTGAGTTTGAGACATCATCCACCTACAAAAAGATCCTCCAGAGACACGTTCTGGGTCACGACAAACAGGTACTTACAGCTTATGGATGTCACAGCCTCCACATGCTATTGTTTTTATTGGGGAAAATGCATTTCATCAAACTACCCAGCTTTGATGGATGATACACTTCAGAACCCATAGTGACACATTTTAAATATCTGTGTATTTCAGATTCCAGCAAACCCGAACCCGTTCCTGCGGAGCATGGCTCACTGGGTCCTGGAGGACTACAGCAGAGCCTTGGACACTTTACTTGAGCAGCCTGCGAACAGCAACAGCTCTGGGTCCACCGAGAGCAAATGTGTCCCTGGTAGGTCTGCAGGGAATCGATTTTTATTCAAGTATCTGCAAAGGAGAAATTGAAATAGTACAATTTGTAACTGCAATCCACAAAAACATTAAAGTTTACAATTAATCTACTGAATTGCTACACTACTTGTTTTGAACCTAGCACACCACCCAATTATTGTACACAGTTTAAAAAAGGAAAGCTTATATTGATTAAATCATTCTTTAAATAGTAATACTTATTTGATAGATATTAGTATTTTTAAGAAATATTTTTGGAATACAATATATATACATTTGCTAAAACCTCCCTTTAATTAGTAAAAATCCAGTGTGAGTTACCTCAGACTGTAATTTGACACTGAGGTTGAATCCTCTTCTTTCACGCTCCACTGTGCAGTTATTTTTGGTCCTTTAAGTACATGAAATAAGTAATTGCACCCTACTGGACACTGATGGCCACTTAATTGAAGAAAATATGTGATGCTTGCCTTAAGAATAGATGAAGAACTGAACTTAATATGAACCTTATTTTGACTTAAGAGCCAAACCATTCCCAGATTAACATCCCTGTGCTACATGTGTCTCATAAATGACGTTCCCAAAGCACATCTAATGTGCTTACAGAGAAACCATACACTGGTTTGGAAATGATTCTTCTGTTTGACAGTGTGTTTTATTGACTGTGTGGTCATGATGAGTTGTTTGGTTCTTTGACATAGTTGCATGAAAAACTTGGTGAACTTAATGCATCACTATTTTCATCCTCACATAACTGCAACACACGTCCACTCAGCTAAAGCTACATTTCAGTTCCCGGTTATGTAATTGAGCTTGTTCTCACAGACTCTAGTTGAAGCAGTAAAGATGACAGATATTTTCCAATTCTAACTCTTTTTTTAACAAAAATCTTTCACAGGTTCCTCTTCTGTGTCTACATGCAACCCTGAAGTTTTCAACTTTTACACCTACCTCCGCACGCACCCACTCCTCCTTCGCCGCCATTTTGGCTCGTCAGACAAGGCTAGAGTTGGCCTGACTGCTGAGGGTCGCCGGGCTGACTCTATTAGCCTGGAGGAGAGAAGACTGTTTTTCACTGCTGCATATGCACATTTACAAGCTGGCTGCCCCATGCTTGCACTTGAAGTCCTCTCCAAGATGCCCAAAGTCCACAAGCATTCCAAACTCCTGAATCAGGAGGATACAGGAATCACTGCTGAGCTCAGTGCCAGGAGTAAAGATGGACAAGCATCAGAGTGGTCCCAGCCATCTCTGAATGGCTACGAGTCAGATGGGAACAGCTTGTCCAACAGCAAATCAGATTCTGTGTTGAGTTTTGATTGGAACCAGCCGTCACTGACACTTCCAGATGAGCCCCTGGAGCTGAAGTGGGACAGCGACAAAGATGATGAAGAAGAGGATTTGGATGAAGAGGAGATTAAAAATGCTAACTCTGGTACAATCGCAGACAGCAGCAGTGTGTTCCAGGACACACAGGACGTCATGTCACCACTAATGGAGACAGTGATCGGAGAGGACAGCGAGGACAGCAATGACTTCCTCGCACCATCTGATGACATCTTGGTGGCTCAGCTGAAGTTTACTGCCTGCTTGAAGATTATGACCAATGAGCTGCGGACACTGTCAACGGGGTACGAAGTCGATGGGGGGAAGCTGCGTTACCAGCTCTACCAGTGGTTAGAAAGAGAGGTAATTTAAAGCAGCATTTTAAGATTTACAGACTTAAAGGTCAAATACATAAACAACATTGTGTTGTGAAACGGTATTCTGCAAAACTTTCATAACTTGCATAACTCCCACACACATCTCTCCTGTCTTCATGTTCACTGGTTTTCTATCATTGTGTGTCAGTGCATATAAACCTCATAATGTTAATAACCCCTGTGGTTTCCTCTTATCGAGTTGTTTACCTTCTCCTGTGGAAACAGCTTGACGTTTTGGTGAAATGTTTTGCTTTTGCTGCCATGCATGGATGATAAATTCCTTCTTGATAAATTGATTTGATGATAAAAATTTTGTTTTCCCCAGGTGGTGGCTCTACAGCGTTGCTGCAGCTACAAGCCCTGCCTGCCAGAGCTGTCTGTCCAGGGTGATGCCTCTGTTTCTGGGTTGGCAGAGGAGGAGGAACAGGTTGGCAAAGATTTGTAGATTTGTTAGATGTTCATGAGGGAAAAGAAATCAATGCAACACTTCCTGTAATAGAAAGTTAAAACTACATCAGTTTGTCATGTTTTGAAAAAGAAAGCGTTTTATTGCACCAGTCTTCCTTCAATCTTCGATTGTAAGACCTCTGTTTTTTATGGGTTACAAAAACTCTTTCTTTTTCTTCTGTTGATTCAGTTTCAGCAGCAAACCTATTCATAACAATTCATAATTACATTTAAAGAGATTTATTGTTGTTAGAACAGATTAATGTGTATTTGTGTTTCTGCTTTATTTTGTTTTGTGGGGCTTTTATTTGAGCCAGTCGGATAACATCGGCACATTTACAGGGATGTTGATTGATTTGTCAATAATAAACCTAATACAGTAAAAATGGTTTTCCAGCCTGGGAGCCCTCGTGGTGACAGCCAGAGGAGCAGGAGACACTGGCTGCAGAGTAACCAGCCCTTGCTGAGGATGTTTCTTAGCTACTGCAGCTTACATGGCTCCCACGGCGGAGGACTGGCTTCTGTACGCATGGAGCTCATATTGCTGCTTCAGGAGTCTCACCAGGTAAAGAAAACACTCACAGACAAACACTGAAGTTCACTTACAACAGTTTCTTTTGTTTTTCCTTTGATTATTGGCAGTACATTTGTAGTGAAATAAATAGGACTTGACCATACAAATATGTGGTGATTGCTTGCTAGTCTTTGCTGATTACAGTTTCACAAATGCTTTGCTTGATTTCTGTTTTTCTTATTTTCTCAAATATACCGTTGGTTTTTAAGGGGGTTTGGAGCTTGTCAGACCAAGCAGGCACTTCTTAATCAGTGAAGTGAGAAAAAAATATGAATTATTGATCATGGTTGTTTTAACCCTATTTCTAGGTCTAACATTTGCAATACTACTGAGGGCATTCGTTTAGGCTTGCCACCAAGAGTCCATCATCACAGACAAGTGGTAGCAAAAGTAGAAAAACTTGATCTGTCAGAGGGTTTGGACAGTACAAACTAAATGAGACGTTATTTGTTATCAGCGGTGCTGCAATGTTATTTAGCAGGGATGGATACAGAGTGGATGAGGAGGAAAATATGAATTAAAGACTAACGTGAAGTCATCTTAAAGCTTTGGTGTGCAACAAGATTCCCAGGACACACACACATAAACCTACTTATCGTGCATTGGCAAATGTCGGCACACCTCCAGCAATAGTTTGACAGGTTGTGCTGACTCTCCTCCTGAGGGAGCTCCTGCCTTAGGCTGACTATTAGAAGTTTGAGTCAAATTTAGGCAGTAAACAACTCAATAAGCCGGCATGGGAGCAGCTCTCTTAGCACAGTCAACAGGCACTGGGCGTCCTTTCTATTATTTTAACCTTATTTTGGAATAAAATATTTGGCCTCAATTCTGGTCCCATGGTTGTCAAATGTATCCATAGTTGTTGAGAAAATGTTTTGGTGTTTTTCCGTTATCCTCGACTTTTGTTAAGAAGCATAGTGACAACTGAGTGTGATTCATCAGGCAAAATAGACAGAAGCCTGTGGTATTGCTTTTAAATCATGTTCAGGAATCACACACACAGACACACAGACACACACACACACACACACACACACACACACACA